TATATATATATATGTAGTATAGTTCTGTTTTTGCTGTTGTTGTTTTTAAAGGCCTTGTTGCTTTTTTCCATTCATTTTTGTTTTGCCATTCTTAGGAGGTACAATAAAAACCCTTTTTTAGCGGCTCAGTCGTAGCTGCAGCTCTTTGCATGACTCAAAGTGCAGCACGCCTCTGAATACCACATGACAGCCGCCGTGTGCTGTCGAGTGTGATGTCTGTCCGTTTTGAAGTGTCACCGTCCTGTCTGATGGTGAGCGAGCCTCTGTGCTTTTCCTGCTTCTATGAGATGCCAAAATGTCTGCTGTGAAAAATGTAATCCAAAGAAGAGTTTGAAAGTCAGGAACTTGTTTTTCAAGCATGTTGCCTCTCTCTCTGCCTCTTAGCCCACAGGGGAGTAGTAGTGAGTCACTCTTTCCTAAATGGAGGAACTGAAACGTCTGTTAGGCCCTCTGCATTTCTTTCACAAAGCCTCCACTGACATCCCTCCTCTGTACCTCACAGTTCTTTTTTTTTCGTGTGTGTGTGTCACAAACACAAGCTGAGAGGAGGATCTGATCTCAGTACTCACGCTGCTCCAGTCATGGGCAGAAAGGACTGTCCTGAGGGCCAGAAATGGGACTACCTCGTCAACACCTGCATCCCCAAAAGTGTTGAAACCAGACGACAGCCTGAACAACCCAAAGGTGAGTTAGTTTCTCTGAGATTCAGTTTTACTTGATGCGTCTTACGTCTGACTAGATGCTGTCTGATGCATTGTTTTTTCACCCGATCTACCTGAATTTATTTGTTCCTGTTTGATGCAAAAGCATTGCTAAAATCTGCCGTCCACAGCTGTGCAATATCACTTAAATGGCTCCAAATCGTATGACCTCACAGTAACTGCATGACTAGTTTACATTATGGGGTTACGTTGAGCCTTCATGTTATTTATGAAAGCTGAGAGGTAATACAACTTAGAGCTATTTGAGATAAATAATTCTGAATCCTGCTGGTCTTGACTGAATCCCTGTTCCTTTCAGAAACTTGCTGATAAATGCACACTCGTATCTGGTGCAATCGCTTGTGGTTTATAGTGTAAACTGTCTTTTCTGTCGAGATAGTTAACATGTCATCCCCACCAGAGCTGCCCATGATTGCTGTGGGCCAGCTCAGAGCCACGGCCACCACGGCCACCACCGACGACTCAGCAATGCTACTGAGTCCAGCTCTGTGGATCTTTGTGGTTCTGGCCACGCTGGGCTCCATCTTGGCTGTGACTCTCTGGTTCATGATATACAGACGACAGACCAGACTCAGCAGCATCCCCGGTAAGCACAACAGAAGACAGCTGTGGTCATCTGATTTATTTAAATTTCACACTTTTTTTTTTGCTGGAAGATTTGAAGAGGTTTTACTTTGTGGAGAGTTTTAGTCTAAAACTGCCTTCAGTGACAGATTTCATGATAGAACTTCTTCAAAACGTCTCTCAGTGGGGAGCGTTTGTTGCCCTCAAAGCGAGGGGATGTGACAGAAGGGGCATCTGAGAGTCATGGTGGGGGGGAAACGGGGTTGCAGGCGGGCAGGTGATGAAGTGTGACGTTCCTCACGGTAGAAACTCCGCGGTTTCTGTTCTCTTCTTCTCAGGCGTCCCATGGGTCAGCCCTGCTCTCACCAGCTATTCTTGTTTCAGCACACATCCGTTGGTTGGGCAGGACCGACTAGGCCTTCACACAACCCTAAAAACATACAAACTGACTGTTCTGCACCAAAGTAGGTACAGTCGTCCTCAGATGTATTCATACCCTCCAATTAAAGAAGGAAAAAAACAGCTGCCTGAAAAAAACACAACAAGCAACCAAGAAGCATGATGGGAACCATAAACTAACGTTTAGTTGAACAACCCTCTCAGCCAATCACTGCCATCAGCTGTTTTCTGTAACTCTCAGTCAGACTTGTGCACCTGTTGACAGGTGTTCTGGCCCACTGCTCATCAGCAAAGTGCTCTCATTTGTCCGGGACAGTTTTTTTTTTTTTTTTTTAATTATTCTTT